GTCAGTGTCCAGATTTCTTCTTAGAAGGACACCAGTCATATTGAATTAGGACCTACTCAAATGACCTCATTTGACCTTAATTACCTCCTTAAAGACCCTACCTCCAAATACAGTCACATTCTGAGGTATGGGGAATTGAGGCGTCAACATATGAATTTTGGGGGACACAATTCAGCCCATAACACTTTTCTGTGGCTGAACTTCGTAGCAGCCTCCTCTCTGTCCAGGCCTCAGAGATGGCGACTTTTGGAGGCGACATTCCAGGTCTTCCTCTTCTGACCTGACATACTACCCTGGGTGGTTGCCACTGCCCCTTTAGCTCCAGGTGCGCTCAATAAATGGATAACATGCCACTCTATGTGTTCAATCCCGACCTGCCTCCTGAGTTCCGGACAAGTGCACCCATTGTCTCCTGACAGCTCAACTTGGTTATCTTACAGGACCCTTTATTCATGTGCAAAACAGAGTGCATCCCCTTCGCAAATCTGTTCTTCCTTCTCTGTTCCTTAGCCCCCCAAAATGGCACCGCTATCTATGTCCTCAGCTGCCCAAGCCAGGAACTTGGGGCCGTCTTTGACTCCTCTCTGTCACCTTCCCCACAATCAATCCCCAGGAGCTGAGCAGTCCTGATGTCTTCTCTCCATCCCCACCCCACCACCTGGCCCAGGCCCCTGTTCCCTCTCCTTGACTGCACAGGGGCCTCTGCCCAGGTCCCCCAGCAGTCTTGCCAGAGTCCACGCTACCCGCCACTCTGGTGCGGGATGAATCCACTTCCCCACTGAAAGCCTCTGATGGTTCCCAGCTGTCCTGGGTCCTGCAGAGCGAGCCCAAATCCACCTCCAGTGTCTTGCCCCCTGCTCTCCAGCAACTGGCAGCTCAGCTCTGGAGGGAGCGAGGGCCCTGCTGCACTGTCCCTGCTCCGCCAGGCTGACTGTGAAGAGAACTAGCTCAGGTGGCGGGGGTGGGGGTGGGGGGGGTAGCCCTTCCCTCACTTCCTCGCTGATTTGCACGGGGCCTTCAAGGGGATGTCTGCTGCCTCTGCCTGTTTGCCCATTTGCCCACCTTCTCTTTCCTCTATTTGTTCTCTCCTTCCTTCTCTCCACCCCTCCACAGGGCCCAGGGAACTGGGGGTGGGGGGCGCAGAATCTTGCTCTGGCTGCGGAGGTGTCCTTGTGGGGGAGGAGCCAGACTGACCTTAGACAAGGCTGCCGGCAGCTACCTCACCTGGGAGAGGGGCACGGAGAAGGAACACTCCTGTCGCTCCCGAGAGACTACCTGGCACTGCAGGGAGGCATGGGCACGTGGGGACTAGGCCTTGTGGGGAGTGGCTGGGAGGGTCCCGTCCTGTGGGCTAGTCAGTGACACGGGGATGACGGGGATGGGTGAGATGCAGGAGCAGCAGCAGCTCTGGCAGGCGGAGGGAAGCTGCTTTCTGAAACTGAGGTTGGGCTCCCCAGAGCCTTGGGAAAGGTCACTCGTCACTGCCCTCATCCCCTAGCATTCTGACTCTCCTTCTAACCATGGCTGAGTGGGAGGAGGGAGCCCTAGGGGCTAGCGGGTGGAAGCCACATTCCTGGAGTGTTAATGATCTCTGGGCTGGGCAGGAGCTGAGACCCCAGACCAGCTAAAAACAACAAACAGCTCCCAGGAGGGATTTGTGTCTGTCCTGAGTCAAGGATTTCCGCCTACCCGGTGGGGGTTGTGGCCAGTGGGGCTCTTAGCAAGAAATTCCCCAGAGACCAGAAGCCCCCTGACCCAGTAGTATTGCTTTGGGAACAGACCCTTCCCCCTTCCCTTTTCCTCCTCCACCCTCCTAGGGAGGCCCAGCGCCACTGACACTGGGGAGGATGAGAGAAGAGGCTGGGTGGGCTCCTCACCTGGTCTCTCCAGTCTCCTTACACCAGTCCAGCGAGCGAGGACACCAAGACTATACCTGACCCAATGAATGGGTGACGGCAGGAAGTGGCCATCTAGAAGTCACAGTCATGCTGGGGCCAAGCTGGGGCTGGAATCTGGGCTGGCCTGACCCCAGTCATAAACCCCACCTCTACTACATGGTCACCCTGCCCTGGGAAGCCATCAGCTTCTCCCTGCAGGGGTGGAAGGTGCTTGGAGGGCCAGAGCTATCAGGAGGCGGCCAAGGCCTGGCCCTGAGGGACTGTGGAGGGGTTAGGAAGGGGCAGATTCCCCAGGGCCGGTGCTGGGTACACTGGGCATCAGGTACCTTTCCACTTGGCTCAAACCTCCCTATTAGCCTCTCTTGGCCCTGGGCAGTTCAGAATGACCCCCATCACCACTACCATGATTCTCCCTCCTAGGCCCTTGGATACATCGGTATGAGAATATACTGAAATCCCTTATCATTCAAATTCCTTGCAGTGGGGCCCTTAGTAAGCGCTCAGCAACCGCTTTGTAAAGGGGTTTCTTCTGCAGAGTTTCAGCTCTTCTCCGTTGTCCGGCTTCCTGCCCCCACACGCTCTTCCAACCTTTCCTCTGCCCTTCCCGCTGGGCCTCCCAGAGGGCCTGACCCCTCCTGAGCCTGGGTCTGCAGCTTCCTCAGGGACCCTCCCGTAACATCCTCAGCTAGCCCTTGGTTTGTTCCCTTTCCCCGCCCCACCTCTCCCACCCATAATTCACAAAGCCAAGCCCTGATGCTTTACATCCATCATTTATTGCCCACAGTTCATTAGTATTACATAAATCACAGAGACTGAGAAATTTTCTGAGAAGGTTAAAAAGACACTGCAAAGTAACCTGGATATGACCAAGGCCCAGGGCTGGAATACCACCTCGCTTCTGTCCACTGGCCCTGCTCTCAGGACCCCACTCTTCTGCCAGGGCAGGAAACAGCCCCCGACCCCCACAGTCAGGAAGCAGAAAGGCATGTTGGCCACCTTGACTCAGCAGCCATCCTGACATCTTGGGCTTTTAGTCCCTATCATGCAGATAATTCGCTAGAAACCGGAGAAGGGCATCCCCGAGCCTTTGGGAATGTTTGAAGTGACCAGAAGAGGGTGGGCAGATACCTAGAGCTGGAGAATCAGCTGCAGGTATGTCCGCTGGGCCAGCCCTGCCCTGACTCGGCCTCCTCCCCAGACACGAAACAATCTTCCCACGAGGCTGCCCTTCCTCTGGCCTCAGCAGCGTGGGGGTGGATGTTGGCTGAAACTTTCCCCTCGTGGTGTTTTCTGCAGCCAGACCAGGGCCTAGCTGCATGGCTTGCTGAATCTCTGTCACCATCATCCTGAGCTATAAGAATCCTTTGCCACCACCACCCCTGCCAGGAGGAGCCCCCTTAAGTCACCTGACAGGCATTTGGGAGCATGACCAGAAATCATCTGGGAGACAACGTAAGTAGATTATGAGATACAGAGGCCACAGGGCTGGGCTGGACTGGGATCGGGGCTATCCTGTCTCTGCCAGGCCTCTGGAGGGGGTGGGAATGGAGCTGGGTGAGCAGTTTTGGTCCCAAGGTAAAGTGCACAGAATAAGACCCAGTGAGAGGTGGGGCAGGGTGAGCTTGAAGTGAGCTTTGCAGAAGAGGACCCAGACATGCCCAGCCCGTTTCTGGCACATTCACATTGTGGCGGGGGTGACTCAGAAAGACCCGCACCCCCTCCCTCTACTGTTTTGTTGTCCATGCTTGTCTCTGCCTTCTTCCATTTCGATGGGTGAGCCGCTCCTGGGGAGAGTGGGGGGCCCTCAGGGCAGCACCCTGCTGAGCTTGCTGGGAGGCACCAGGGCCTTCCTGGGGGGTGAAGCGGCAGGGGCTCCTGGTGGGGTGTGTGGTGTTGATGCCTGCAGAAGACCCGCCTCACCAGTTACCCTCCCTGAGGGAGCGGCGCTGCCTGCGGCCAGGCCCTGGCTGCCCTGCAGGCACATGTCCGCCTCCAGCCACGTCCCTCCCCAGGTGGAGTCACCGGGAGGGGAGTCCCTGAGGCTGTGTGTTGAAGGCTCATTCCAGTTGGGGTCAGGTGACGGGTACGTTGAGACCCCTGCTTTCTCTTTTGGGGGCTTTCCAGACAAGAGAGTACCCTGATCACCCCATGTCAGGCCCTTATTTCCTCTGCAGGGCTCTCTTTCCTGGCCCGCAGTGGAGGGGAGACGGCAGCCAGCCCCAAGGGGCCTCAGAGGCCCGTGCAGGGTGAGAGGCTGCATGTGGGTGCCCCCCGCCCCAAGCCCAGGCATCCACACCACTGCAGAACTGTAAAGTGTTTGGCAAAGGTCAAGTGCTCCCAGGATGTGTGGTCACGTACAGAACAGCAAAGTCCAGGTTCTGAGGCCAACTGCTGGCCATGCCCAAAGGGGCCCGCCCATTTCCCAGCCCAGTGTCCATGCTGGGATGTGCCTGGGACGGCCAGCATCTGAGCAGAAGAGGCAAAGATGAGATCTAGCTGGAAGAGCATGTGGGAACCCTTCGATCCGGTTCTCTGGTTCCAGGCAGGGTGCAGAGGCTCAGAGAAGGAACTGGGCTTGTCCAAGGTCACACACATAGGTGCCTAGAGATCTGGCCTTTGTACTCTCAGGCACCAGACCCTCCTGCTCAAGAGGCGGTGGGATGGGGCAGGCAGCCTGGGAGGCTGGAGAGGCTTCCCTAGTGCCCCGCTTCCGGCCTGGTGCCGGGCAGGGGGATCTTCCTGCAAGGGCCAGACTGCATGCCCATGGTTCCTGCCCATCCTCATTCCGTCGTGGGGCTTCCTGCCTAGAGCTGGGGTCATCTCAGGGGCCTCAAGTAGATCAGGGCTCCATGAAGTGTGATGCCAGCCCTAGTGTGGCACTGGGCTTCATGTAGAGGAACTGGCTCTGCAGGTGTGGCGTGGACCTTGAAGTCTGGCCACACTCAGAGCTAGCTGCCCATGGAATCTCCCAGAGGCCTCCAGTGATCCTTGATTTCCTGGGCCACCTCCTGAGGACCTTAGTCATAGCTGGCTCATCCTGCGAGGTGTAGACCTCCTCCCCTCCCTTCCCCACCCCTACCCAACCTAGGGAGACATCCGTCTTGGCCATGGTAATATCTTAAATCTACCAGCCTGGCCACCAAACCAACCAGCTCACAGGCTACTCTTACTCCCACCACCAGACCACTTGCTGACAGCATCTGGGCAGCTGTGGCCAAGGCTTGATTCTAATAAAAAAAAAAAAATTAAAAAAAAAGTATAAAAGGATCCTAATTCTACCCTGTGGGCACTCTACAGTTTTTCAGCTTCACACATAATTGTGCTGAGTAGAGTTTTGACAACCCCACGTAAGGCCCAGAAATGCACTTGATTATTTTTATAGGAAATGTGTCAGAATTCCTCTCCCTTATGTTAACATGTGAATAGATTAGTCTCCCTACCGCTGTGGATGGAGACACCCCCCCAGGTGGTCCAGAACTGGTGGGGTCAGCTTGCCCCTCCCTGCAGGTGCTGCTCATGAGACTCCTTTCCCGCCCCCAACTCCCCGGGCTGGACAAAGCTGCACCCCCAGGCCAGCTGCCCCCACTCACAGCCCCTTGTTGTACACCACTGTCCGGCTGCTGGTGGCCCGGGCAATCTCAGGCTCTAACTGGGATGTTTCGATCTGCGGATAGAGATGAACAGAGGGAGGGAAGGTGAGCGGGGTGATTACTCTGGGGCCCACAGGTCTCCCCCTCTGCCCCTGGCTCCCAGCCAGGGACCATGTGTGCCACCTCACATATCTAATTTTTCTGTCCGGCTGCCAAGGGGCTCTCAGTATCCCTTCCTGCCCACGTCTTGTCTCTTCCTCTGACGGTGTGTCCATGCCGGTGAACATCCTATACGCTGGCCACCAAGTTCTGTATTTGTCCTCTATCCAATGACCTTGTCTATACAAATGACCTTGTCTATCCAATGACCTTGTCCACTGTGCTATACAAATCCCCTCCCAGGGCCACAACCTGGACCCGGTCACCAGCCAGGTTGCTTTCCCCAGACCCCTAAAACCCAAACCCTACTCTCCTGGACCCCACAGTCCCCTATCACTCCAGCACCCCACTCACTGTCCCTGTTTTTAGACCACTGCGGCCTCAGGCCCTAGACTTCCTACAGCTCAGCCTCACATTCTCCCCCTCAACCTGGACACGAGGGGCAGGGCCATCACTTCAGCCACTCCCTAGTCCCAGGGTCCTTCCAGCCGACTGGAAGAAGCAGTGCTTTGGAAGAAACGGACCACCTACTAGAGACCTTTCAACATTCACTGTCCATGATTTTGGCTGGATCCTCACAGTGGCCAGCAACACCCCCACCCCCTGGCCACATGGCCGGTCACCTCCCTCTCCCCTTCTCCTCAGAGGTCACCCCGCCCTCAGCTCCCTATGCATGCTGAGCAGACGAGCCTTCTCACTAGCTCAGGGGAAAGCAGAAGGCATCAGAAGGAACCCGGCCACATCCCATCATCAAACCCACGAGCCACTGTGTGCACACTGCTCCACACCCACCCTCCTGCTCCCCCACTGCAACGACCCCTCCACGCAGGAGCGGGCCCCCCTGAGCTCCACCACCCACGCCCACACCAGGAGCCCACTTCTGGGTTGTCCTCCCTCCTTCCCACCTTTTCAGTTTACTGACTCCTGCTCACCAGCATTTCAACACAGACAAGAACCTTCCATCCAAGAAAACCTCCCCTTAACCCCATGTCACACTGTGGCTACGGCCTGGTGCCTCCCTCCCCAACAACTGCATTTCTTTAAGGCGTTGTCTACAGCGGTAGCCACCCCCCTCCTCACCTCCCACTGACTTTTCAACCCACAGGAAATCTGGCTTCTGTTCTCACCACTTTCCACAAAAAATCTTTCTCTCCAAGGTCACTGCTAAGCCCCCTTTTTTTTTGTGGCATCCACTGGACACTTCTTAGGGCCCCTGGTTGGGCCCTCTTCCCTGCACACACACCCTGGGTGACTCAACCTTCCGGTGACTCCAGATTTGAGGAGTCTCCAGCCATGTTTCTCCCAAGTCTTGGGCTTACTGAACCTTTCTATGCATGTCTCTTAGGCACCTTAACTCAACCCATCTAAAATGGAATTGAATCAACCCCTGCACCGACCCAGCTCCCTAAGCTGCCACCCAATGGCACTCTGGCCAGAGACCCTGGGGCCCAGGCAAAGGGTGCACAGACCAGCGCGGCCTGCAGAGAGTCAGTCTTGCCCAGGCCGTGCCTGTCAGAGGCCAGACAAGAAGGAATTTGATGGGGACTAGAGTTGTGGGCACAGCAGAGTTTCTGGAGAAGGGGGGACCCTTCCCCTGTAGTCCCCGGTACTCCAATACCCAGGCTCAGGACATTCGAGAGGGTCAAAGAGATGAGAGCTAGGCTCAAGGCCTGGGCCTCTTCCCCGCCCCCTCTCCTCCAACCACCTCCTCCGCCCCCACCCCTGCCGGCCTCTGAGTCCCCTCCACTCCACCCGCTCCCCTCGTCCCCACGCTGCCACTGACACAATGCACAGCACCCACGCTTTAAAATCTAAATGCTTTTGAAAATGTTTAACCTAGTTAGACAAATTAGCAAAAATTTGTGCAAAACAATTTAGGTATTTAAAATATTCAATGTTTTTAAAAAACTGGAAAACTGTTCTTAGCTTTCAGCTGCAAAAACCAACAAAATATAACATCCCAGCAATCTTACCATGAGGTGTAACATAACCCTTCGGGAAAGCTGTTAAACAGCTACTGAGGCATCCTGGGAAATAGCACTTCATTTATTCAAATGCACATATGTCAGGCTTTTGCACCATATGTCATTCCAAGCTATTTACAGTAATAATTAAATCTTAATCAACGTTTAACCTCTGTAAAATGTTTGAAGAATCCTAATCACCCTTCAGACTGCACTAATGAAGGAGAAATATATAAACATAAAAGGAAAATGATGCATAGATATCACGCTGGAAAGAACAGTAATTGCAAAATTGTATTTCTTTTAAATATAATCAGTAAATGATGTAAAGTAAGCCAAGGAGTATTTTAAGTTAAGACATCTTGGATGTCAGAGGTGTGAGCAGCTAATTTTGTTCTGCTACCCATAACAGATGTAGCATATTTTATTTTAGTGCCATTATTAGCAACTTCCCATGCCGGCTTTCACTGAAGCACGGAGGCCCGCCTGAAAATCGGAGACTGCTGCTCACCACCGCCGTGGAGGACCGTGGGCCGGGGCCACGGCCCACTCAGCTCACTCCCTGGAGAGGGCTGGCCCAGCTGACCCTCCCAGGGGAGGCTGCCACAGACCCAGGCCCCCAGGCTCCCCACTGTGCTGAGGGCAGCAGGTAGGAGGCAGGCATGGGGGAGATGCTGCAGTGGGAAGGTTGGCGGGGCGGGGGACTGAGGCACTCAGGAGCAGGGGCTTGGGGACAGAGCCGGCCTTCAAGGCTTTTCCTCTCATTTCAACTCAGTCAGCCTTCTAGTCAGCAGATGTTTATGGCTGCCAGCTCCTCACACCCAGGCTGGGCTCGCAGAGATGGGGATCAGCCCATGCCCTTGAGGAGCTCCAAGTCTAGGGGAGGAGTCAGACAGAAGCAGCGGAAGCGCAGAGACCAGTGCCATGGAAACCGGGGAGGGGGCGGAGCCAGCACGTGGAAGAACAAGGAAGACTTCTCAGAGGAGGTGGGCCAGGAAGAAAGTGGAGGATTCTGAGGACAGGGCAAGGAACGCTTGCTGGGTGAAGGGAACCGCATTAGTGGCCGGCGTGACCTGTTTGCTGTGGGCGATGTTGGGTCTGTGGCAGGAAATGGAGGTGGGGCTGGGACAGGCAGGTGCAGAGGTGTCAGCGTTTTGTCTGAGGGCAAGAAGGAACTGGAAGAAGTCTGAGCAGGCAGGGGTGCGCTCCATCTCAGAAAGGTCTCTCGGGGGGAGGTGGGTTGGAGGCTGGACCAGGAGAGTGGGGCCGCAGCTGTGGGACTCAGAGAGGTGCCGTGTCCTGCCCCGTGAGGCTGCCATGGTGGCTTAGAGAAGGGTGCACGCTGGGGAGACTTTCTGAAGATGAGATTCCTAGGAGTTGATGACCAATCCCATGTGGGGGTAAGAGGGAGGTGTCGAGAATGACTGTGCGTTGGATGATTCCTAATTCGAGCTCCGGAGCAGGGGTGGCTGGTTATGCCTTTCTCAGAGGGGGGATAGGTGAGGGGGGAGGGTGATAGGCTCAGGTTTGGCCACGATGAGCCCCTCAGCTGGAGAGGCCTGAGAAGCAGGCAGGTCCCAGGCTCTGGGGCTCTGGCCAGGGGTCTGGGCGGGAGAACGAGCCCGGGGCTCAGGAGCACAGCCGGAGCCCCTGGAGGGGAGGAGCTTGCTCAGGAGAGCAGATGGAAGGGGTGGGTGCCAGGCCTGGGGAACAGGCACATTTGAGGGGTGGGTGTAGGGAACAAGCCCACGATAGCGGCCTTAGGGCACCAGCCCAAGGATGGAAGCAATGGCAGAGGGTGCCACAGACACTAGACAGCATGGACACCAGGAAAACAAAGTTTTCTGGGTTGTCCCAGTAAGGGCTGAGAAGCTTTGGTCTTGGCATTGGGATTTGGTGACCTCTGGAGTCAAGATTTCTAACCTTTACTCAGTGCTGACCCCAGTCTCAGCCTCTCACTTCTGCCCTGGGCCAACTCAATTGGCCATTGGTGAAGACCCCTCCAGCTCTCTGGCCACAGCTAGGGGTAGGATCAATGGTCCACCATCTTGAGGTCTCCGGGATGTCTGGACCACCAGGGTTCCTCTCCATTGGGCTAGCAAGGGAGGCTGAGGTCGGGATGCCTGGGCTGCACCCCCACTTAAAGATCACCTGCCTGAGGTATGGGGGGCTGTGTCCTCCATGGAAATCATATCCAGGGCCCTGGGTGAGGGCAATGGAGTGCCCTGCTGTGGCCCTAACCACCTTCGGAGTACCCAAGGTAGGGACAATGGGTTGTGCTGTTCTCTTGGGGACCCCCTGCTGTTAGGGGGCCTGAGTAAGAAGCAGAAGCCATGCCCTGGCCAGTTTGGCTCAGCGGTTAGAGCGTCGGCCTGTGGTCCGGAGAAGCAGAAGCCAGCTGTATGTGCCACATTGGAAGCACAGTGAATGGCATGGCGGCTCCAGTGGCTCACAGGCAGGTGTGGTGCAGGGAGGTGCCAAGGCCCAGCGGGAGCAGTGGGTGCAGCAAGGAGGAGCCAGCAGCACCAGCTTAGCAAGAGCTAGAGCCCCAGGGCAGGGGCTTGGCTCTGACCACAGGAGAGCACCGAGGGGCCACCTCTGGGAAGAAGGTGACAAGGAGAAAGGGAGCTGGGCAAGAAGTGGCCACAGGGAGAAGGGGTGATCTAGCCCCAGGCTGCCAGTTGGGGGCAGGCAGGAACCTGCGTGTCCCTCTGTTCATCTGGTGGACTCTCCCCCAGGCACCTGATGGCCAGTCAGCAGGGGCCCTTGAGAGAAGGGGGTGTCTGGGATGGGAAGCCAGAGCCCTGGAGGGTGGGGGCTGCAGGCATGTGAGAAAGCTGAGGTTATCAGTCGGCACTGGCTGACGGTACCCTCCAGCCTCAGAATTGGGGGTGCCATGAAGACGTGGGCCTGCTGGGAACATGCCCACCCTGCCATGACATCAGCAGTGT